TAATTAGAAGTTTCCTGTGGTTGAGTATGTGAGACAGCAAAGAAACTGTCTTCACTTAAAATTCTACCATGCCCTAAAATACTTATATAAGCCACAGATGGTTAAATAAAAGTGCTAGGTGTAGTCACTCATCATAACACAGAGGTGAGGTAACTAGATTTTTCCCCAGACTCAAAAAGCAAGCATCACATAAAATTTTATCTGATTTTTTTTCTATAATTTAAGACAGCCATAAGATCTATTCTCTCTACTAAGACCAAAATAAAACTAAGGTGTATGACCTTTTTACTAACTCAGGTGTGTCTTCAACACACTAAGGAATTAAACAATGTTTTGGAAAAATAGGATAAAGCAAATATGAAGAAGGTAAGAGACATTTTGGAGAAATCAGATTTTTCAATATCAAAAGCAATGAAAGAAAAAGCTAAGATGAGATTATGCATTTTGATTTTCAGAGTAAGAGGTCATGATGTAACAAAGATCGTCATTCTAAATTAGATCTATTTATTTGCATTCTGAAAGAAAGTGTGGAACAAAACGTAAGTTTCAGAAGGACTATTTATCACCCAAAGACAAAAAATGTGAAGGAGCTGACTAGAATGTTAGTATGTTCCATGTTCACCCTCCCCCCCATACTCAGGAAAAATATATATATTTGGAACCCACATCAGACACCATTGCCTAATTTAAAAATATTCCTGGACCTCTTATTGATCAATATCTCTTATAGAAAGGATGAGAGTGTAGCATCTGAACTGAAACCGTATTATTAGAAAATGATATCGTGAGCATTAGGATGTATAATTCATGTTGCTTTCATTTGCTCAGACCATTGTAAAAATCCATAAATCATTTTCTTCTTCATGTATTGCTTAAGTGCAATTTGTCATTTTGCATTAGAGGGCTGTTTCAGCTCATCAGTGCTTTTAATTCACTGTTTTGAGTTTAACAAAATGCTGGCCCTGTCTGATAACTGAAAAGACACTGAAATGTGAAGCCGCACCAATATTAACTAGGTTAAACAAAATGGAGAAGAACATTTTTTACTTTGAATATAAGCAATGCTTTAATGGAAAATCTAGTATTCCCAGTCCCCAAAACACACATTGGTTTGTTCTCTGTTGATTTCAGAACATTACAACATAGTATCTAAAGAGTAACCTAAAGGCTTATAATAGTTTATGCTATAAATCTTTCTAGAAACTCTAGTCAACATTCTCTCTCTAAAGTAGATGAACAAAAAATTACAGTGTCTGTGTCTCCAAAGCCTTGCCTTCCCACCTCTTAAGTTAGGTTACACTACTGCAAATAAACCTATTTCATGGATACCCGTAAGAGATGCAGCATGGTCCAGGTGCTCTGAGTTTGCTCTCTGCACTGTCCTTGCTGGGAATGACAAATGCCAGGAATCATCCAGCTCAATCTTAGCCGGGTCTGGTGTTTAAAAGACTTCTTATTGATAATTTAAATTTTTTTCTTCCATTTCTTAAAAAAAAAAAAAAAAAAAAAAAAATCTCCTCTCAAAGCTCTGGGCACACTGCAATAATAAGAGGATTTAGAAACAAATTGCTTTCAAGTCAAGTTAAATCACTGCAAACACTCATTTATCCAAACGCTGGCTAACAAACTTGTTTCCCTCCCGCCTTTTCCAAAAAAGGGTAGGGAAGAAAACAACCCTGTTACCTAGTTTCAAAGTTTGTAACTATGTATATAAAACGCATTTGTGGGATCCTTAGCGCCCCCCCCCCAATTTCTGCTGTACTTAGAGGCCAATGAAATACATGAGTGCGCATTATCATTCTCATACACCAACCAGGACTTTTATAAAAATTGATTTTGATACATCCCTCGAAATATAACTACTTTCCCCTTCTGATTTAGGATTTAATTTGTTTTGGCCCAGATAGTTGGCTCCCCTGTAGGGGATGTTGGGGGTAGGGGGTAAGGTTGTGTTCCCTAGGTGTTGCTGCTCCCTTCTGGGTCCAGTAATGGGGGTAGGGGGGAGAGAGGGATGCAGTATCACAGGATATTCTCCACTTCAAAGAGGTCCTGAACCCCACTACCGAGGCTCTTATTTACGTAATCATGGCCTCACTAAATTCCGGGTTCACCGAAGGGAATGTAAAAGGAAAAGGAATTAAGAGGCATTTTTAAAAGGCTTTTGTTTTGTGGGTGACGGGGTGGGGGTGTATAATGTTTCCAGGGTAAGGAGGCAGGAAAGGCTATTAATGCCAGTATATGATTCTTGCCCTGAACAAAATGCTCTCTCAGTTGCCCTTGGCTGGAGCTACCTAGAAGGAGGTGTACAGCCGGGCTCGGGTCTGTTCCCCCTGGCAGAAGACCCCGTCGTCACCCCAAAGGTCCTGGGCAGCTTCAGAGACCAGAAGTCAAAGGCGAGACCTCTAGGGGACCTGGGCCTGTGTCGCCTGAGCGGACACAGGCCTTTTCGACCCAAGAAATCCTGCAGAGCCCCCAACAGGCGAACCCTGCGGAACGAGAGAGCTCCAAAGCAAAATTCTCTGGCTTGCCCTATGCTGCTTTCGCCGCTAGGAGACGCCTGTAACCCACGTTTGCAGAGAGAGTTCCCGGCTCAAACACAACTGCTACCAAAAAAAAAAAAAAAGGCAGCTCAAGTGTTACAGGGGATGCAGTGATTATTTAGAGGCAAATCCGGCCATCTCTCCACGTTCTCATCTCCACCTCTTGGAAGCTCTGTGGCTCTCAGCGAACGCCCCAAGTCTGCTCAAACTTCATCTACATTTTGAAAACACAAACCCTCTCCCCCAAACAATTTCTGGATCTGCATTGTCATTCAGCCACATGTCTCTCACACGCAAACACGCGTGCACACGCACGCACACACAAGTGTTTCCAAACGTATAAATGAAAACATTAGAAAATTACCGTCATTTAAAAAATGCTCCAGGGTTCTGATGAGTCAGCTGGAAGAACTCAAAATATTTCATTTCAATCTTGCAGATCTAAAGAAAAAGGGGGGGGGGGAAGGGGTAGAAAGTACAGACGCAATGCCGTTATTAATATTCAGATACACTATAATCTCCCTTTCATTGATCCACAGGTCCTTTTTATAAACTGCCACTCCATTCTCAGCAGTAGACGCGAGGCTAAAATCATTTTAACTGCAGCGGTTTTCTCTTGGCTATGGCCAGTAGTCAATTTACTGCAGCTGAAAAAGGATTAGCCATTTTTGCTGGCATTCTTTCCTTCTAACCGCTCAAAGGCAGGACCCATCCATGAAAGAGCCAAGGGTGGGGGCACCAGGGCACTAGACACGCACTCGCGGGACTCACAGAGCCATGCCTCAGTCTCTAATCACGCCCGTGGACACTCGCTCTCCTTAATTCCCTGCCACGAAGAAATCTCAACGTACCTCGGGATGGGCAAAAGGCTCTCCTTTTCTCGCGGGTCGTGGCGGTGTTACTCTCGGGTCATTCATTACCAGGAAGCCGCAGGGGACCATTCTATACTGTGGCATAAGAAGAAGACTGAACAGGGGCAGTTTTAGTGAATAAACAACCCCCTACAGCCCATTAATTAATATAAAAAAAATACGCTTTTAAAAATGTTTCTTGGAGAATTGGCATTCATTCCACTCTCTAACATTGAAGAGTTCGCGCTGTATTTTAACTTCACAAGAACTGGATGCATGGATGCGCTGCTTTGCCCCCACGTCACGGCAGTGGGCACTCAACGCTCCTCAAGCGCATCCTTCGATATCTGGGTGTGTGGTTCGAGGCTCCGTTGGGGCTTGCACAGCCCTGTGCGCCGGGTCAAGGAGGATGGGTGTGAGCACAGTAAGTGTGCAAGCACGTTCGCTGATACCCGCAGCGGCACACACTCGGGCGCCGTATGTGCTCGGCCCCTGCCCACCGACTCATCCTCACCCCTGCCCGTGTTCTCAGCCGCCCTGCTGTTCTCATCCAGCGGTCTTGCCTCAAACTGGGCAACAATCGGTGCCTCGGTTTAGCATGGGGGCGGGGAGGGGGATCTCCAAATGTCAGGAAAAGCAGAAAACAGCCTGAGCGCGCCGCCGCAGCGTAGCACTTGGCCAGGTGAGGCGCAGGGATATCCGGGGCGCCTTGCAGCGCCCAGCGATGCTCGGATGCCAGCGAGTCGGGCGTTAGGCTGGCGTGCTTGAAGGCAGTGCTCAAATGAAACTCCGGTCATTGATCAAAGCGCTCGCAGTTCGAACTAGGTCCCCAAGGGAATTAATCTATTTGGTAAGAATGTCGTGGATATACACCGAGGAAGGGAAGAGACAAGTCTAACGCGTCTGCACATCTATAGTAGCTGCCAGCCCACGTCTCTTGGCGTGGATCCCTCAGCTTTTCAGGACCTACCTCCGCCCCACACTCCAACTGCTTCACTCCTTTCCACACAGCCCCTTCAGACCCTCACGCTTAGTTTTACCCAATCCATATTATATCTCTTAAAAAAAAAAAAAATGTCCAGCCAGTCTCTGCCAGAGCCCCTTAATTAGGTAACCCCTGCAGTTAGTGGCCCCTCTGCAACTTTTCCCCTTCCTGGTGATTTATTTCCACGATCAGTAGTAAAGGAAAATACCTTAAAGAAAAAAGAATGTTAGGCGTCATTGGAAACCCCGCTCCGGAGAGAGGATACCGCTGCTGTTGCTATTATGTTTTCGCATTTGCTGATGCAAACAGGGGAACCTCTCTATTCCCTCTCCATTACCTGCGGTTGGGGACTGGGAACTTTCCGCAGCAGAGTCCCCAGCTAGCGCCTCGGGACCTGCCGGGCTGTTCTCACTCTCACACTCACACTCACCCCGGCCGCCCGCCCGGTCGCGAGTTCCATCCCGCCCCTCCCGGCTGCCGAGTGACGCTCATGCTTGACAGCCAGATTGGCCAATTAGCGGTGGCTCGGTGGGTGGTGCTCTTCAGTTACTGGTTGGCAGAATGAGGGCGCTGCGCAAAAACGGAAAAGCGGAGCGCTCGGAGCTCAGAAACTGCCAGCCGAGATCACAGGCTCTAGGGCTGAAGCAGGAGGAGGGAAAGACTGGAAGGAAGAGAGACAGGTTAGAGGGAAAGAGGCTTGGGAAGAAAACAGCAGGAAAGAAACTGCTCATCACACTTATAGAGAGGCAAATGATGGTGGAGATGAGGACAGAGAGAGACAAAACTATGAAAGCCAAAAAATACAAATAGAGCGAAAGAGGAGAAAATGCCAAGAACATCCATCCGGAGAAATGAAGAGAATGAAAGTTTTATGCTGCAGAGCCGTTCTATGTTTTTCCGGCACAAAATTCTCTTGCTGTTTTTAAGCCCTTTTGCATTTGCCAGCCGTTGACATTGAGGCATGTTCAACGGTGCCAGCAGCGTCTCCTCTTCCTTCTCCTCTTCCTCTTCATCTTCCTCCTCCTCATCCACCCCCTCCTCCTCCTCCTTTTCCTCCTCCTCCTTCTCCTCCCATCATCAAGAAGACAAACCGAGGACAGTCTTGAAATATCGAAATTTCCTCCTTGGGATTTGCCAGCGCCGCGTTGCGCCAAGACTGTCGGAATAAAGGACGCTGACTATTGTATTATTATTTTATTAATTGGTCAGTGGGAAGATTACAGATGAGGAAAGGGGACGCCTGTCACCCTTCCTGAGCTAAGATTGAAAAATGAGGCTGAATTGGGGGAAGCCCTAAAATGAAGCAAAAGGAATAGATTTTTAAGGACAGAAAGCCACAGGAGCCCCCCACATAGCGCACTTTTATTTGTATTTTTTTTTTAAGATTTTTTTTTTTTTTTCGTAGTGGTGGGGGAGAAGATTGGGTGGCTGGCTGGCTGCGGGAAGCTGCTTCCTTTCCCTTTGGAGATGATTGTGCTATTATTCTTTGCCTTGCTCTGGATGGTGGAAGGAGTCTTTTCCCAGCTTCACTACACAGTGCAGGAGGAGCAGGAACATGGCACTTTCGTGGGGAATATCGCTGAAGATCTGGGCTTGGACATTACAAAACTTTCAGCTCGCAGGTTTCAAACGGTGCCCAACTCGCGGACCCCTTACTTGGACCTCAACCTGGAGACCGGGGTGCTGTACGTGAATGAGAAGATCGACCGCGAGCAAATCTGCAAGCAGAGCCCCTCCTGCGTCCTGCACCTGGAGGTCTTCTTGGAGAACCCCCTAGAGCTGTTCCGGGTGGAGATCGAAGTGCTGGACATCAATGACAACCCCCCCTCCTTCCCAGAGCCGGACCTGACGGTGGAGATCTCTGAGAGCGCTACGCCGGGCACCCGCTTCCCCCTGGAGAGCGCTTTCGACCCAGACGTGGGCACCAACTCCTTACGCGACTACGAGATAACCCCCAACAGCTACTTCTCCCTGGACGTGCAGACCCAGGGGGATGGCAACCGATTCGCCGAGCTGGTGCTGGAGAAGCCCCTGGACCGAGAGCAGCAAGCGGTGCACCGCTACGTGCTGACCGCGGTGGACGGGGGAGGAGGGGGAGGAGGAGGCGAAGGAGGGGGAGGCGGCGGGGGAGGGGGCCTACCACCCCAACAGCAGCGCACCGGCACTGCCCTACTCACCATCCGAGTGCTGGACTCCAACGACAATGTCCCCGCCTTCGACCAACCCGTCTACACTGTGTCCCTACCAGAGAACTCGCCACCGGGCACGCTTGTAATCCAGCTCAACGCCACAGACCCAGATGAGGGACAGAATGGCGAAGTCGTGTATTCCTTCAGCAGCCACATTTCGCCCAGGGCGCGGGAGCTCTTTGGACTCTCCCCGCGCACCGGCCGACTGGAGGTGAGCGGCGAGCTAGACTATGAAGAGAGCCCAGTGTACCAAGTATACGTACAAGCCAAGGACTTGGGCCCCAACGCGGTGCCCGCGCACTGCAAGGTGCTAGTGCGAGTACTGGATGCTAACGACAACGCGCCAGAGATAAGCTTCAGCACCGTGAAGGAGGCGGTGAGCGAGGGCGCGGCGCCGGGTACGGTGGTGGCCCTGTTTAGCGTGACCGACCGCGACTCAGAGGAAAATGGGCAGGTGCAGTGCGAGCTGTTGGGGGATGTGCCGTTCCGCCTCAAGTCTTCCTTCAAGAACTACTATACCATCGTGACCGAGGCCCCCCTGGACCGAGAGGCTGGAGACTCCTACACCCTAACAGTGGTGGCTCGGGACAGGGGTGAGCCGGCGCTCTCCACCAGTAAGTCGATCCAGGTACAAGTGTCAGATGTGAACGACAACGCACCGCGGTTTAGCCAGCCCGTCTACGACGTGTATGTGACCGAGAACAACGTGCCGGGCGCGTACATCTACGCGGTGAGCGCCACAGACCGCGATGAGGGCGCCAACGCCCAGCTAGCCTACTCTATCCTCGAGTGCCAGATCCAGGGCATGAGTGTCTTCACTTACGTGTCCATCAACTCTGAGAACGGCTACTTGTACGCCCTGCGTTCCTTCGACTACGAGCAGCTCAAGGACTTCAGCTTCCAAGTGGAAGCTCGGGACGCCGGCAGCCCCCAGGCTCTGGCTGGTAACGCCACCGTCAACATCCTCATCGTGGATCAGAACGACAATGCCCCTGCCATCGTGGCGCCCCTGCCTGGGCGCAACGGGACTCCAGCGCGCGAGGTGCTGCCCCGGTCGGCGGAGCCGGGTTACCTGCTGACGCGCGTGGCGGCAGTGGACGCAGACGACGGCGAGAACGCCCGGCTCACCTACAGCATTGTGCGGGGCAACGAAATGAACCTCTTCCGCATGGACTGGCGCACCGGGGAACTCCGCACCGCGCGTCGGGTGCCGGCCAAGCGCGACCCCCAGCGGCCTTACGAGCTGGTGATCGAGGTGCGCGACCACGGGCAGCCGCCCCTGTCCTCCACTGCCACACTGGTGGTGCAGCTGGTGGATGGAGCTGTGGAGCCCCAGGGTGGGGGCGGGGGCGGTAGCGGGGGGCCAGGGGAGCATCAGCGCCCCAGCCGCTCGGGCGGCGGGGAGACCTCGCTGGACCTCACCCTCATTCTCATCATTGCGCTGGGCTCGGTGTCCTTCATATTCCTGCTAGCCATGATCGTGCTTGCCGTGCGTTGCCAAAAAGAGAAGAAGCTCAACATCTACACGTGTCTAGCCAGCGACTGCTGCCTCTGCTGCTGCTGCTGTGGCAGCGGGGGCTCGACCTGCTGTGGCCGCCAAGCCCGGGCGCGCAAGAAGAAACTCAGCAAGTCGGACATCATGCTGGTGCAAAGCTCCAATGTACCCAGTAACCCGGCCCAAGTGCCGGTGGAGGAGTCCGGGGGCTTCGGCTCCCACCACCACAACCAGAATTACTGCTACCAGGTCTGCCTGACCCCTGAGTCCGCCAAGACCGACCTGATGTTCCTTAAGCCCTGCAGCCCTTCACGGAGTACGGACACTGAGCACAACCCCTGTGGGGCCATCGTCACCGGCTACACAGACCAGCAGCCCGACATCATCTCCAACGGAAGCATTTTGTCCAACGAGGTAAGGCTGAAGCGAAAGGACCACCATCTCTCATCTCCTCCATCTGAAAGCCTCCTCTAGCCCGGCCCTTGTATCTCTGGTGCACTGTGTATTTATATTTAGGATATTAACTTATTTGTATCTCTGTGGGGGCAGGAATTGGGGGGAGGCTATCCCACCCCTTCGTATGTAACCTAAACTTCGTGTTGTCCCTAATTTTCTGCGCTCCACCCCTCCACATTTACTTTCATTTCCTCCCCTTGGTGCTTTGCCACCTTGGACCCTCCTTCTTCCCTCTGGCATCCTTCCTTTAAAATCCTAACCCCTTCTCAGTCCTTTCCCTTCTCAGAAATCTGAGGGTAAAGGGAAAAGTGCGCGGGGGGAGCGAGGGAATTGCGATGGAGGGACTTTCTGGTACTGGCAAAGGTCTTTTTCTCTTTGCGTTTGTCCCAGGCATTAATAAAGTTAATTCTGTTTGCTTTGTTTATCGATGCTTTCAGTCGCGTGTAAAAGTAAGCTATAGATTGTTTAACTTCGCACAGTTGTCTAAACTCGAACGCATGTTTTAGTGAATAAGTTATCAGATCTTTTCCTCTGAACTCGGGTTGCAGAAAAACCTTCAGTTCTGCTCTGGACAGCATTTACAGACGCTCTTGAAGCCCAATGCCCACACAGTGTGAATTTGAATGAAGTTGCTTTGGCACAAACCCCTGTAAGAGTAAACTAACGGAAGGCTTAAACAATTGTTACCTTAAATATATCTTTTAGCTAATAATCACCTTTTGCCACTGTTCTTGATAAATCACTACTGCTGGCTTTCTTCCTCAAAGAATTTGGCTTGTTAATTCCGATTTCTTTTTAAAAGATGGCGAAGTGGCAAAGTTGGGAGGAGGGAGGGAGGGGGAGAACAGAGTTGATTTATGTACAAGAAAGTTTGGACCAGAAAAGGTGTGTGGATGGTGGAGTTGGGGAGGAGAATGCAGAGGGTATTTGGAGGGAGAAAAGTCTGGGGGGGGGGGTGTTATGAATTCTTTTCTTGGCAGGTTATTTTATTTATTTGAGTCTTAGATATTAATTGACTTTCATGAATATTTGTACAGCTCATTTGTATCTTAAGCACATTTTGAAAATAAACAACAAAATAATTCCATAAAATATCCAAACTTTTTGCTTATTGAGCGTGCTGTTTTTCTTGTGTCAACCAGTATGCACCTAAACACTTTTTTAGGCCACTGAAAGACTGCAGAGTATACCTAGGTTGACTCTATTAGGGACAATAGTTTATGAGCCCTAGCTATGAGGTCATTTGCAATCTCTCCTTAAGCACACACACACACACACACACACACACGTTTAAAATTGGCTTTTTTATTTTTGCAATGCTTTTTAACCTTTACTGAAAATCTAGACTGAAGTGTCTCTGCATATTGCCCTCCCCTTACCCAGCAATCACTAGGGTGAGGCCTTAGAATAGCTTGAAAATTCATAAAACTGTACACAGTCCTTAAATGAAACTCAATTCCTAACCTCAAAAGAAGACTACTAGTTAAGCCCTCAGCATTCAAATGCTCTTGATTTATTTATCTTTTTTCTAGACTAAACACCAGCGAGCAGAGCTCAGCTATCTAGTTGACAGACCTCGCCGAGTTAACAGGTATGGACTCTTTTTTTTTTTTTTTTCCCCTAGCTTGATGTGTGGACAGTTTCCTACCTACTAAAATTAGGAATTAGGTGTATTATCCAATATTAAAATATAAGATCTCCAGCTAGGTCAAAACATAAATACTGATTATGCTGGGGTTCCTAGACAATATATTAAAAATATGGATATATTCCATCTATATACAACTTACTGAATATATTTGAATATTTTGTCAATTTATACTCACACTGCTTTGATAGTCTCCCTATTCCCAGTGAATAAATACTCTCTTTTATGAAAATGATATACACATAAACAAAACACTAATCATAGAATAATGACTAAAGTGACATACCTTAAAGGCTCAAAATGACTGCTCTGCTCAGTTTTAAAGAATTAGGCTTAAGGTGATGAAACTAGCTTTCTGCAGAAATAAAGCCCAGAGGTCTATGAATCTGCAGCACCATTGGTGACCATGTGGTGGCAGAAGAATGTTTTCTGTGTTTCTTTGCCTTTTTTATTCTAATATTCACGTTTTTGTACTTCTAGTTCTGCCTTCCAAGAAGCCGACATAGTAAGCTCTAAGGACAGTGGTCATGGAGACAGTGAACAGGGAGATAGTGATCATGATGCCACCAATCGCGGCCAGTCAGCTGGTAAGTGTGTTCAAAGGGCAATGCTGACTTTTATAGTTTCTTGTTGTTGTTGTTGTTGTTGTTGTTGTTGTTGTTAAAAGTCATTCTAGAAAGAATGATATCCTGGGGAATTTTCTGTAGGTTTAATGGTAGTAAGTCCACAGGAAAATGGTGTGTCATCCTATGTTGATAATTGTATATTCAAAGATGATTATAAAAATCTAATGGGTAAGGTTAGAGATTTATTGGGAAATATGATAGAATATGAGCTATATCTTCCTTACATAATGTTCTTTAGTGCAATTATATTACATACAAAAACCTATAGCTTTCTCACCTGGTCCAGGCCTCAGTCTTACTCTTCAGTCAATTAAGGTATTATTAGACTTGTTTATGGATGAGGTAACTGAAGATGAATGAAATTGATTGACCTGCCCAAAGTCACAGAGAATAAGTGGATGATTGGGAACTAGAATCCAAATTTCTTCCTTTTGAGAGCAATGGGTTTTGCAAGCCACTGAGTATTGAATGGGAGAAAGAAAGGTGATTAAAAGTCATGAATAGTCTGAAAGCAGGATTTCCAATGCTGGGCTCTTAGGCTTCAAGTCATTAATAAACATTTGATAGTGTGTATTTTCTCAAGCACCTTAGGTTTCCTCATATTTTCAATAGGGTCCATGACCTGTCAAAAGTTGAACCCCATGTGTATTTGTATATGAGGTTAGCAATAGACACTGATGGGGTTGCAGTGTGATACATATATTTTGCATTGTTTATTTTACTTTTTTCTATATAAATTTAACTGTTAAGTTTTATAAGATGCTGATAACTCTGTTTACTAATCCTTAAAGAAAACACTATTAAAAATGAAATATATACCTTATAATAATGAAAATGATTTCCACAATGGTTGGATTTTCTTACTACTTCATTCGCAATTCAACTAAGAAGGGTGCTTGTTTTTTTGTTTTTTTGTTTTTTTTACTTTTCCTTTTTTGATTGAGTTTTGTGTTTTTCTGACATGTAAATAAATGGAAAGGCAAATTAACCTTCGTAACTTATAAAAATGTCCATGATTGGGCCATCTCTAGATTCAACTCTGTTCACTTGATTTTAAGCTTTATTTTGGTTAATGATGTAACCACAGAGTGACAGAGTCCTCATTTTCAAGGTAACCTTGGTCCTAGAGAGCACACATTCCTGAACACACTTGGTGGACCTCTGAATGGTGCCGAGGCAGCGTGTCAAAGGGCAGTACCCGCCCCATGGTCGCCTGGCAGCAGTGGTTACCTCAAGCCTCTCACTTGGCTAATGTGTGCTGTGTCTGAGGCTGCCTTAGCCTTGGGAAACACAGGCAGGAGGAGGGGAGAAAGAGGCTGCTCAAGGGTCTCTTTATATTGCTGCAAGTCATTAATATGCAGACCTAATGAGACTTGAACACTGCCAAGAATCCCCGGAGGTCCCTGCCCCTTGCGGGCCTTCACGCTAAGTGAACAGAGCATCTATTTAGTGTCTGGGAACCTGACAACAAACCAGATCTTGCCAGAAGTTTATATTTGAGTACAAAGTCCCTTTCATTTTTGGCCTATATATGGCATATGATTTATCGTTATCTTTTAAAAGCTGTACGTTTAGAATTGCTCATTCCTATTCATTCTTCAGGGTTTCTAATTTAAGTTAGCCTTTTAAAACTTTTAAAACAAAATGTTTAATATTAAAATAGTATCTGCTGCATGTATCCTTGGGTGCATTTTATTCATTTCCCACTCCCCCACCCCCTGCTTTGTTTTTTTCTGTAGCACTCCAGTCTCAATGAACATTTCAATTAGTTTAGTCCCTCAGACATAATGAGCTATAATAACCTAACCAAAGAAAAAGAAACGAATAAACATCTGCAAAAAGTGCTATATTTGGAAGATGGATGGGGATAGATTCTTATCAATGCGCCTTCCCAGTAGCTATTTTATTTCTCAGGGACTCAATGTTGCCATTTTTGGTAATGTTTCTTTCAAATTATTTGAGATGTCAAAGCATTAAAAGGAAAATTAAAATGCCAAACTGTGTTCTGGAAAACATTTTTAAAAAGCAAGGCGGTTTGTATTTTTCTTTATCAATGGCAAAAATTTTTCCCTGTCTTTACATTCTTACATGTGAAAAGTATTACAGAATGAATTTATTTTTGTATTTCATTGGCAGTTCTAGGGCAGCTGAAACATACTGAGCACAGTAATTGCTGTTTGAGAATTGTAATGACACACTTGTATTAAGAAGTAATCTCACCTTTGTGTGCTGAATTGCAATCAGATTTAATATGTCTAATTTTATTGTAAGAATGATTTTGAAGTGTTTTCTTCTTTAGGTATAAAGCCCTAAATACAGAGAATTGAAATGCATTTACTTAATGACTTTCTCCAGTTCATACTGATGTTGTGTACTGTAAACTTCATAGCAAGTAGCTATAGTATTTCCTAAAAGTTAAACCCATTTCAGGTGAATAAGTACATCTGTTTTATTTTCTTGTAAAGCCAGGTATTAATGACTTTCCAATTTTGTAATATTTAGGAAATATTATTCACAGCACATCTATTTCCAGGTTTACGATATGGGGAAAAAAATCATACCAATAAGCAAATCTTACTCAGCCAATTTTTAGGGGGAGAACAGCAGGTTATCAAGGAAAAATAATACTAGAAACACATAGACCCTGAATTCTGTCCTTCAGTCTGTACCTCATTCCATATTACATTATATACAATATTGAGCTTAGTGTTTCACCTGTTTAAACTTCCTAACTTTTTATTTATTCTCAATTTCTTTTTCTATGTTAGCATTACTTTGTATTCATTTATTTAGATATGCCTTCTATTTATTCTTCTGTGAATAGTTTTCTTTTTTGTTCTTTCTCCGCTACCCCCCTTGCATTTCTCCTTTCTAAGTCATTTGCCGTCACCAGTCTTGCTCATAGAAGGGCTTTAAACACGGAGGCAGCTGCACAGAGAATCACATAAGCTTTTTCAGTTTTCTACTGCACCTGGCTCCATGTGTGAAATTCTTCGGCTTGACCACTGCTCTGTGGCATTTTCTTTCCATAGCCTTGTCAAGGTGCTTTCCGGTTTTTCAGTGCACTATTGATGTATTGGTTAGATATGGCAGAAGTCCAGGGAGATGTGGTAAATATATGCATAAACCATCACAGGAGGAAGATCCTATTAATCACAGCTTAAATAGCCAAAAAAAGAGTCAAAGTGAACTTAAAAAAAATAGTTTCAATTTTGTTTAGTGTATCGTTAGATTAAAAGATCTTTTTTTTTTCTGACTTGCCATACTGATACAAAAATTTTAGTTGTGTATTCTTAAACATTTTAACATTATTGTAGGTAGTCTAAGGAGATATATTTAGTTGTAAGAATTTTTTTGCCTCATTTATTAAATATTTGCAATATGCATACTCCTGGAATTATCAGTTCATTTTTAATAATTGTGCCTTCGTAAAAAACATACTGAAGAAGATAACCCTAATAAGTGATTCTGTTAATGTTACTTGTTATAGTTTACCTGAAAATTGTTAAGTTGCTCCTTCTTGTAAATTTTTCTTTCAGTTACAAGGAAACTTAGCTTCTAAGTGTGCTTATTTTTTAACTAATTATTGAGATTGATACATGATACGTGGTCAAAATTTGGCTATACATAAAAAAAAAGTGATTTGAATTGTCAGTATCTTCAAACTAGTAGATAAAGTATATCATGAAATGTGTTCAGCCATTGCACAACTACTACAATATCAGCAAGACAATTTTTGATTTATTGTTAAGTACAAATTTCCCTTTCCCAACTCCAGTAAGAATTTAGATACTGGCAGATTAGCATCTGGACTTATAAATTGAATTTTCATGATGGTTTGCAAAAGCTTATTCAGGTTTCTGGTGAAAATCTGAACTACAAATTGATGTTACAGAAAGATTTATAATTGGAAAAATATATGACAAAATATTAGAGAAATTGGAGAAAAACGAACATTTTGAATAAGTAGGGAGAAATTTTGATGTACATGTTTTGATTTTTTCATGAGTGAATCATGTTGATAAATATCTGCCGATGAGCTATATTTTCCTAAAAATTACAACAACTTTTGTGTTTGTAATTGATCTTTCATCATTTTTTGGTGCTAAGTGGTTAAAGGAGGATTGGAAATTTCTTCAAAAATTAAGTATTGATTTTCTTTAAAATTAATTTATGAAATTATGAAAAATTAAACATTTTTTATGAAGGCTGAATAAAAAGTGAAGCATTTTTTATGAAGGTGCATGAGAAAGAAATGTACCTGTAATTTTATATTATTACATTTATCAGAAAACAACACAACTTGAATACAATTATAATATTTTTGAAATCACAATTTGTTCTCAGTGGTAATATCACTGCCTCTGACTCTAAGGAACAAGTTACTTGCTGGTTAAAAATATGTATTTTAAAACTTCTCTAAATATATCCTTGCATAACAGGCAGTCTATCACGTCAGCTGTCATGCCTTGTAGAACAGATTATTTCTGAGAAGTTGGAAAAATAAATAACTAGGAGAAGAAATTTCAAATTATATATATTTATATATGTTCAGATATTTCTTAGAAAATACCAAAACTTCAAAACTGAGGTTTGGCCTGTATTTTTCTGCTGTACAAATATCACAGGTTCTATAGTAAGGACATTTGAATAAGAAAAACTAAAAATCAAGTTAAATTTATTTTCTCTTCGGCTTTCAATTTGAGCTATTAAAAATTTCCAAGAGCAATGTGAAAGGCATGAATTTTAATATGTCACCTGCCCTATAATACCTGGCATTCCTGTATATCATGTAGTCATTTATCATAACAAAACTTCAATATACTTCTGCTTATTTGGAGATTAAATAATATATTTAATGGGACTGGAGATAATTGAAAAAAGGTAAAATACTGTTAGTCTTTTAGTGACTCCCTGACATGAGGAATGATAATAGGATCATTTATCTGGTTCTCAAACTATATATCTAAAAGGCAAATGATTCGAAATTTATTGATGTACTATTTTTTATTTTTCTTCTAATTTTGTTTCTATGTCTGATATTTTTTTCCTCATGAGAAATCAGTACACTTGCATTATCAGTAAAACTGGTGAATTATATTCATGCACAATTTGTGACACCATAACTCTCATTCTGGTTATATAAAGCTGTGTGTTATTACTATGGGAATCACACTTTAAAAGGACTAGTTCATAAATTTATTGAGAACATTATTTCTAAGTGTTTTCTTCCTTCTGTCAAGTAAAATTGTTCTTCCAACAAAAACTTTATCGTATTTCTCATTTTTCTTGTTATGCACATGACATATTTTCTGCACAGGTTCTCAACTCATGAGAACTTGATTACATCATCTAAGGGAATTTTAAATCACCTCTAATAACTACAGAAGCCGAAAACCAGAAAACCATTAACTTCAAGAGAAGAAAATGGGCACAAATGAATATGTACTATATATAAAAACAAGTTCTATTGAAAGTACCTTCTAACATAATCAAACAGCATCTTAATAATGTTGAAAGACTAGTTTATTAAAATTTTTCTATGAGATAGAGGATCATATTTAAAAATATGAGAGTCCTTGGGTACAGGTGCTCGAAAAGATGTGAAAGATTATTAATGGTCCCATGTAGTGTTTAAAATGATATTTATCAGTCATGTGAGGAAAATTGCATTTATTCCAAATTTTGCATTATATACCCATCTTTGTTAGGGTATAATAATGCAGTTCAATCTTAATATTTGAATTAATTCCACCAACTTTAAATTTTATGCCTTGAATTTAATTTTCAAACAAATGATTGGTCATCATAATTTGACTTTTAACAGTAGTTTTATTTATCAAGTCTTTTTTTTCTCTATCACACTGCAAATAGGGAGCATTTCTAGTACAGTATTCAAAATACAGGGGCATCAGGGTGGCTCAGTCATTAAGTGTCTGCCTTAGGCTCAGGTCATGATCCCAGGGTCCTGGGAGCGAGCCCCGCATCGGGCTCCCTGCTCTGCGGGAAGCCTGCTTCTCCCTCTCCCACTCCCCCTGCTTGTGTTTCCTCTCTCAATGTGTCTCTCTCTGTCAAATAAATTAATAAAATCTAAAAACAAAACAAAACAAAACTATAAATCTCTCTGGTTCTATAGCTTCTACCTACCTGGTATGTCACTGTGTATCAGGGACATTTTCCTTCCCTTACTCTTTTTCTTTCTACTTATCTCTTTGAAGAAATAGGATAAAAAAACTGAGCTATTCTGGTGTCTAGAAAAACACTGACGTGTTTTACATGCTTTCTTAGTCTGGTTCCTTATCCTGGTTTCAGCTCACGTTTAGGTTCCTCAACAGTTCACTGATCAGTAATTTATTTCCAGGCTTATGCATGACAATTATCAATGAAACATTATAATCGAAGTCAGACTTGGCATTATACATAGTTTAATTTAAAATAAAAAAGTCATAAAGTGAGATTAATATATGATAAGAAGCTTCATTTCATTTCTTTAAACATAATTTACATAATTAACTGTTCTGAACTCCAAAATACTTGTGGATAATCTAGAAGATTAATACTCTGAAAAAAATCTTTTCTGTATTTTATATATGCAGATATTAACATATACACATAAACAGGTAAAGCAGTTTGTGACACAATGCCATCAGGAATTTATAAACTAAACCTGACTCAGGAGTTCAAATCACGAATGGTATTTATAAGAAGAAACAATCAGATGGGTTCATTAAATAAATATTAGTCTGTCGATTAAAAAAAAAGAAATTCATACTCATGCATTTGAGAGTTTCTTTTATAAGAGTAATCATACTCAAATTACTTTCAATTAATCCTGTTTAAAAACATGCACAATAAATGTGTTAGTATGTTTAGAAAAATATTAAAATGTGATTTGGGTTTATGTGCTTGTTTTTCTGAGTAGGGGTAGTTATCAAAATGAATATCAAAAAGTCTTTTATAATGCTAAAAAATTGTTATGCTTTGCTTAAGAACTAAACTTTCTTGAGTCATAATCAGATAATATTGAATAGTCTTGTCAATCTGTGGGAGACAACGTAACTTGAAGATGTCATTTGAAATCTTCGTATTCTCGGATTAATAGGGAAAACAGTTCTGTGTTGACTAGGACAAGTGTTTTCCAATATGGAACAAGTAATAAGGTATTTGTCAATAGTATCTGCAGCTGACTCACATTACACTTGATTACCTTGGTTTCACTAATTACAGTCATTTGTTTTTGGTTTGTCTGCAGTGGTAAATGATAAGTGGTTTGTAGTAATATGGGCTACCAGAATGCCATTGACATATACATTTTAGGGTCATTTTCTGAGAACCCGAGAAAGCATGCTCCTGACCACTCAAGAAATGTTTCATTCTTGTTGTTTATTGGTTTATCAATATGTGTGCCGTATTTCTGTTGAATTTCACTTTTTGTTTCATGTCCAGATTTCATAATCTAAATACCATCATTTGTGCTACACATAGTTCTAATGTTTTTGTCTCTAAGGAAAAAAAAAGTGTTGGATGCCTTATCATCATTAGAGATTACGAATTATAAAGGCTTTACACTTTGCATTTGTCTCTATTATGAATTTCACCAGAGATTTTTTAAAATATTCATTCTTTTTCTACTCACCATTCCCTAGTTATTTAAATAATTTAGAGCCAGAATTTTTTCCCAATACTCTGAGAATATTAGAAACATCTTCCTCAGGGTCCTCTTTGCTAGAAGTCTAACCCTTTGGAAAATAGTACAAAGACATTTTTGGTTCCTGTGAGGTTAAGGCAGGAAAACTTTGGCAAAGCACATTCACCCAGCACCCTTTATGCCACCTGTAATCTCACATTAGCGAAACCTGAACCTGTAGTTTCTCTTTTTTTTCTGCTTACAGGCATGGATCTCTTCTCCAACTGCACTGAGGAATGCAAAGCCCTGGGCCACTCAGACCGGTGCTGGATGCCATCTTTTGTCCCTGCTGATGGACGCCAAGCTGCTGATTATCGCAGCAATCTGCATGTTCCTGGCATGGACTCTGTTCCAGACACTGAGGTGTTTGAAACTCCAGAAGCGCAGCCTGGGGCGGAGAGGTCTTTCTCCACCTTTGGCAAAGAGAAGGCCCTTCACAACACTCTGGAGAGGAAGGAGCTGGATGGACTGCTGTCTAATACACGAGCGCCTTACAAACCACCATATTTGAGTAAGTATTACATAAAAGGCTTTATCAGAGTATTCCCTTTGAGGGAATAAGTTCAACACGCCATTCTTCTTAGTAAAAATAGAGTTCAAGTTGTTTTCAGAAACCAAGATAAAAGTGACTCTCGGATGCAGGCAGTACTTTTCTATGGAAAAATGAATATACTCAACAGGAAGACAGGTTCCTGTGTTAGGACGTGGTTGTTGACAACAATCAAACGTAACTTTTGATGCTGAAAACATTTTTCAAATGTGCTTCATATTTCCTTTGAATATTGATCTCTTGCTGACTTGATTTCCATGTGTTTTGAAGGGCTTAATTAAGATGGAAAAACATCTCTTGACACTTGAGTCACTGGGAGATTTCATTTTTTTTATCGATGCCAGCATTATCGCATAATCATCCTTTTTCCATAGTGACATTAAACATTTTAGGCTAAATTAGGAAATCAGTGCAGCCATTACTTTGACCATTCAATGCAATTTAGTAATATGTTCATATGGAGTAAGTCTCTGACCGGAATCAGAGGAACTATGTGATGGAAACATATAAATAAAGCAATATTCTTCATTTACTTAAAATAGTATGTTCTTCTAACGTGGAGACATTGAAAATTGTACTCAGCTCTTTCAATATTGGAACCACATTCTGTAAGTAGATTATTTTATACAACCACTGTGAAAATAAAAATGCTTAGAGATTCTGTAGTGTATTTCCTTTGAGGATCTCGGTGATGAAATTATATTCTCTGCTACATAGTTATCTTTTCCTTTTAGTTAATGGGTAAATACCGCTGACAATTCAATAGTTTGGTCAAACTATATAAACTAATATTTGATGAGAAGGAAACTCATTAAAAACTCAGTCAAAAGATGACTTTTATCTTGTATAGGAAATCCAGCATATATGGTGTTTTCTTTCTTTCGTTTTCTAGTATTAAAAAATCATGGAATCATAAGCTAGGAACAAAAATGAGCAGAATGCAGATGTATCATTTCTTTTACAATTTATGGAATAGGAGGGAAATAGGAAAAAGTACTGAAAGGAAAGAAAAAAAGCTAGAAGAACATATTTTTTAGCTCTTATGAATGTAAATATGAAAGCCATGGATTGAATACATTGAGGACAAGACTACTACTCTAGACATTGATAATACGAGTCAAAAGTGTCCTATGAATAAAGGAATGGATCTGCCATTGGCTAAATACATTGTGATGGCAACAGTGATTAAACTGTTTTATGAAGGATTGCCTTCAACTTTTCAAATTACTTGGAAATACCATTACCCCACGCATGATGTAGTATTTTAGCTTTTCAGACCAAATAATTGCTCCTGCCTATTAGCTATTGATATTTGTTTTGCTTTATCTTTTGAAGTTAATAAATACAAGGAGAGCACATATACTTAAGGGAAGTATTGAAATGTCTAACATAATAACTATGATGAAATTTGGATGCTAAAGTCCTAAAGTTTAGCTCACACATCTGCACATATGAGTGATTTAAAATAGCCTAAAATAATTATGTGTGTTGCTAGAAGTCAAAGAATGCATATGTTATTTAATTAAGAAAATTAAGATTTGTTTGTTTATTACTCAGATATGGTACAATAAATTAGTTTTTAAAAACTTTTTTTTTTTTCCTGTGTTAGCCAGCTCACACCACTCAAACTTTAGGGTTTGGGATGAAGTGTGACCTGGTTGAAAAATAAGCCCAAATATAAGTATTTTGTTGTTTTTACTTATACCATCCTTAGCTCTTCATAGAACTTCAACTTTTAGTGTTTAATGTTATCTTAGACTCACACAATTATCTTTAAAATTACATCATGGTTCTGATTTAATAGACATAGGCAATTTTACAGTTAATTTGATAGCATAAACTACAAATAAAAAAACACCACTGACCATTTTGCCCTCCAAATTCACCTGATGATGGTTGTTAATACTTGTAATATTTAACTTCAGGAATGGAAATATTCTCATCTTCTAAATTGAAAAGCATGTCACTTACATAGTTAAACTAAAAACTTGGCACCTATAACTTGTTTTTAATCAGAATGTTTAAATAATTATTGGGGCAGTAATTTTCTTTTGCTGAACATGCATTTAGTTCTTTGGTGAACATAATGTTTATTTAATGTTAAGAAAGTAGTTGTATATTTATTTTTGTAGAGCTCTAAAAATAAGGCCTAATGAAGCTACCATTGTCATTTATAAAATGATCAGGAAATGGTAATATGCTTAATAATACAGATGAAATCATTGCCTATACCCAAGAACTTCCCATTTCTATACTTCTGGTTGCTAAATTTAAAATTAAAAATCGCAAGAAACCAACTTCTACACAAAAGTACTTGTATGCACATGTTAAAAAACAAGTAGTTTGTGTTTCTTTTTGTATGCCCAAATACAACCATATTTCCTTTTTTTTTAATGTGTAAGAAAAGATCCATGAAGAGTATGGATGATGTATTTAGTGAAATGGAAGTTATTTTTTAAGTTGGTAATAATTTTGAAAACGTCTATTCAAACTCATTAGTCATGAGTACTTTATGAGCATGCTTGTTCTTATTTTTGTTATAATACTGTAGTTTGTTAATGCCCTGATAAATACCAAAGGAATACACTGAAAGATTGAAGAAATAAATTTAAACATGCAGAATGTGGTCGTTTTCAAAACTCAATGTTTAGATTTATCTTAAAATACTAATGAATTTTTAGCATAAATAAATTTACCTTTTTCAGAGAAATAAAGAAAATATCACCTTAACTTTTAATAAAAATTAATCACTGTTTTTGACACTTATTAAAATGAAACCTGAAAAAATTATTACCTGGAGTTTAAAAATAATACCACATTTTATCGTGAAGAATTCAAGAATTTCTTTAGTATTATAGACCTCTTATTTAAAATAATAGTCTTTCAAATGACAAAACGTTTTACAGAAAACAATCTGGATAGTCTCAGCAACTAAGTAGCATAAAAATAATTTATGTTTAAGAATATAATTGATAAAAGCTATATTATTAAGATAATTTAGAAAAACCCAATATTTAAAACAATATCTTAAATATTACTTTTGCAGTCATACTTACTTATGATTTCGGCTTCACATTTTAAGTATCATCGCTTGTGACTTTTGTCAGCAAATAAGCATATTTTTTGGTTCGAATCAGCATAAGCAGTACAGTAGTAAAGATGTAAGGATTCATTCTTTGGAAACTCATTGATTTCTTTTTTTTTTCTTTTTTTTAAAACTTTATTTTATTATGTTATGTTAATCACCATACATTACGTCATTAGTTTTTGATGTAGTGTTCCATGATTCATTGTTTGCATATAGCACCCAGTGCTCCATTCAATACGTGCCCTTTTTAGTACCCATCACCAGGCTAACCCATCCTCCCACGCCCCTCCCCTCTAGAACCCTCAGTTTGTTTCTCAGAGTCCATAGTCTCTCATGGTTCATCTCCCCCTCCGATTCCTCCCCCCTTCATTTTTCCCTTCCTACTATTTTTTTTTTTAACATATAATGTATTATTTGTTTCAGAGGTACAGGCCTGTGATTCATCAGTCTTACACAACTCACAGTGCTAACCATAGCATATACCTTCCCCAACGTCTATCACCCAGCCACCCCATCCCTCCCACCCCCATCACTGCTTTCTTGTCAATAAACATAATCAGTGCCTAAAAACTGATAATAGTCAAAAAACAAATAACCAATGAAATTTCATCTAAAATATATTTGTGAAAATCTTTCTTTCATTTATTTAAAGGGTCATACAATAATAAATTATATTGAATGAAATGAAAAAAATACATTGACATTAGAATTTTTTAAACCCTAAATCCATGAAATTTTCTAGACTCATAGGACTGTAGGGAACCATTTATTGAAGTGTCACAGTCTATCCTTCTTTCACATTACACAACATTTAGACTAGTCCATGTGTGCAAAAATTGCTAGTTTTCTCCTTAACTAATTTTATTTTGCCTACTTTTTGAGTCATTTTGAAACTTCAATTTAACTCAATCTTAACACAAGAAAAGATGTCAGAACTTTGAAACATTCCATTTGAAAAGTTGCTGACACTTTACCTAGACTTTTTTCAGTAAACCTCATTTTGAGAAAATTCTTTTGGGCATCTATGTTATTTCTATGGTGCACTTCAAGTTTTCAGTTGATTAAAATTGTAGAGCATGTTTTGTTTAGACACATCTCTCCATCCCTTCATTATCTCAATCTGCCTTCTGTGAGTTTTCGTAATTTGTTGAACTCAGTAGTGTGGTAAGAACATACATAAGATTCAAAATAAAACCACTTTTCCTATTGGTACACATTACTCTCATATTTATGAATCCTTGTATATGATTTCTCTGGGATTTCTATATTCCTGTAATGTCATAAACATAACATCCATTTATCAAATAATAAAGTCCATAAATAAGCATTATTATACATGGCCTTTTAAACATTTCTCTCAAAGGTCCATACACCACTAAATGAATGGACATTTTTTTTTCAGGATATTTTCTTCCAAGTACATATGTTAATTTCTGTTCCCTTTTTCTCCAAGTTGTGTTACTTTTTTATAATATCCTATTTCTGAGACTTTTGCTTCTCTCCCTCTTCTTTATAAGAATAGCTCTAGATTTGTGAACCTAACTTTCTCACTTTTTTAGTTTAAACTTTTGTGACAAATCTCTGGTCTTTGAATAACACCAGTCCTTCTGTTTTTCATTAAATTCCTTTGTTTAGTAATTAAGAATTGATCTCTCATAATCAAAATAGTTTACTCACCTCAGCTCTGTGAGCAGGAAATAAATGATAACTCAGGGCCAGAAAAAACCCCAACCAATCCCAGGTCATATTCTCTGTATATCTACTGTTTGATTTAATGTTCACTGAATTTTATGATATTTTACTTCTTTGAAAAATGATAATCTATTCACAATTTGTATCATTACTCCAGTTAGCTGATGCAGCAGCTGCCTGG